GACTGATTCTCTCACTTAGCATAATGTTTTTGACATTTATTCGTGCTATAACATGTTTCAGTACTTTATTCCTTTTTATTTTTTTCTTTGCCTTCATTCCTTTTCATGGCTGGATTTTACTGTATAGACACACCACATTTTGTTTATCTAGTCATCAGTTGGTGGGCACTTGCATAGTAAATGTATAGTAAACAGAATTATTAAGGTTTGGCGGGAGGGGAGGGAAGCAAGGAAAAGAAAAACTTTTAAATAAAAGTCCCAAGCTAAACCACAGTGTCAAATCGAGTTACATAAGAGGTTTAAATCTCAAAATAGAAGATAGGGTATCACTGTTACATTATGAATAGCCTGCTGTGACATTTGTGTACAAGTTTTTGTGTGGTTGTATGTTTTTCAGGACATGCCACTTTGGATGGAGTCTAGGACACTCGCGGTGGGGAGTGGGAGGAAAGGGGGTGAAGCTGAGGGCCCTGCTCGCCCAGTGCATACTCTGAGTGGTGGGTGGGGGTGAGAAGGGTAGGCTCAGCATCCTGCTCTAGCCTCACTGGGGGCCCAGGGTGTGTGAGGCCAGGGCAGGGGCTGTCCCCCCACCAATACACACACGCATTGTTATGTCAGATCTGGCAGCTGTTGGCCAGGCTGCAAATAGCCTGGGCAGCTGGTATTTTCCCTGGAAATCAGGTACATTTTTCCCTGTGTCCTGCTGAGGGACAAAATTAGTTGAATACATAGAGAAGTGTGAGCCACAGCGACCATTAGTCTAGAGAAGAGTGCTGTCAACAGGAAGCTGGCTGGCCCCGGGAAAGAGGTGGTCAGGAAGATGAAGGTCAACAAGCCAAGTGTAAACCGAGGAGGCTTGGCTGCGATGCCTCTGCCCCCAGCACATTTACGCAGTGGCGGTGGTTTTGTTTATAGGAAATGCTGCGGGGATCTATCTCCCCAGCTGCGTTTGACAGATAGAGAAACAGAGGCGCTGCAGTGAAGGGACCTGCCATTCAGAGACAGAAAGGGTGATGAAAGCCAACATCCCCATTTCTGCCATGGGCAGCGGGTTTGGTAAAACCCAGACCTTGCCCTCAATGCTCTGCCTTTTTAGAGTTCACAGGAGAAGACTGAGGACACAAAAACAAGAAAGAGCTTATGCTGTCTTTGTCTCCTAAAAAAAGAACACCAAACCCCACCCCAGCCCAAAGCAAAAACACAAAACAGGGCTATAATTACCATCTTTTCTTTTCTTCCTTTCTTTTTTTTTTTTTCCTGCTCTCCAGCCAGAAAACATTATGTTGTTAGACAAGAATATTCCCATTCCACATATCAAGCTGATTGACTTTGGCCTGGCTCACGAAATAGAAGATGGAGTTGAATTTAAGAATATTTTTGGCACGCCAGAATTTGTTGGTGAGTCCTAGGCCTATTTCTCTCCTAGCAAAGAATCTGCGATCAAAAGGTAAAGAGATCCCAGGAACAAACCCTGTGTCTGGGGCCACGACTGTGATGATGCCTTGGAAACCCCATAGAGGCCTAGTGGGTGGGGAAGAAGGTGTCTTGCTGGGCCTCTGGGTGAGGGTTCAGGGCTAGCTTTGAGTGCCCAGTGGGGTGTAGGAAGCCCGGTGTGGTCTTGGAAATGGAGGGAAGGCATGGTCTCCTTAAAACCCTGGCACTGAAACTTCTGACCACATTCTAATCAAAAAAGAAGACAGAACGTGTCAGAGCATCCACTCTGATGGATTTTCAGGCCACATGTACCCACTCTGCAGCCACTATGGAATGGCTCTGCAGAGGCCCCACAGACCCTCTCGGTAAGGGAATCTTGCCATGTGCCAAATACTATGCCTGGTGCTCCACAGGCATTATCTCAGTTAATCCTTAAAGCACCTCATGAAGCAGATTTAATTACTTTCTCTATCAACTGCCTTGTTCAGGATAAAACAGCCAGTAGGTGGTGGAGCTTCAAAGGAGATTCAAATACAGATACATCCAAACCTGTGCTCTTTCTATCATACTGGGTTGTCTCTCTAAGAAGACCCTGCCTCCAAGGGGCTTGCCGTTTGTGGAAACAAGACATCATGCCACCCAATAAGAGTGCTGGAAAGCTCTTTTCACATCACCTGGTCTAGTTTAACAAATGTTAAGGAGTTGGAGGGCTGGAAGATTTTAGTTAAGGTCACCCAGTGGTTCTTCTTCACCTTCTGTATGACAGATGTCAGGTGAGGTGCTAGGGACAGAAACAGTGATGGTAAGGAGACACACTCAGAATGATATACCCAAGGCCACACAGCGAGTTGGTGGCAGAGCCAGCTCGAACCTGGGGCACAAGACATCTATTCTTGAACTTTCTCTGAGACAGCAGTCACTGCCCACCATTCTCATAAATGGTAAAAATGTATATGTTAATTTAGTTAAATCATACCAAGTGTTAAATAACAGCAAATGGTTCAACTAGAAATTCAGGGCAATAATGGAAGAGGTGCCACAAGATACAAGAAAAATTAATTCCCAGAAAAATTATCATAGTTTGAATGTTACAACAATTTGCTGTCTATGAGTCTCTAATGCCTACTTTCAGTTTCTGTACCTATATTGTCTGGACCAGTGACAATCTGCAGATTCTTTGTCTGTAGACCACACTTCGAATATCACTGTCCTAGAGAAAGTCTTTCATGTGTGTGTCAGGAGACATGTACAAAAAAAGTTCATAGCATCGTTGTTCCAATAATAAAGGAAGTAGAAGCCATCCAAATGATCACTGAGAAGAGAATGCGCAAAAAATTATATCTCCACGCAATGGGCTATTATACAGCAGTGAAAACGAAAAATCATTCAATTGATGAACATTCAATGAACACTAGACGTGTAATGTTGAGTGGCGAAAAAAAAATCAAGTGACAGTAGATCGCATGCAGTATGACATCTTTATGAAGCAAAAAATTAAGCAAAGCCAGGAAGTGGTTCCCTGTGTCTGGAAGTAGGGGAGAGGTGGGAGAGTGGGATGGTGGGCACACCTTAGAGATGGTTTTGATACTGTTCCAGATGAACAGACTTAGCCTTTCCTGCTCTCCTTCTTTTTCCATTAGTGGTTTAGCAGGCTCAGTCCTTCTCCCTTCTCTATCTGCTGCCTTCCCATTCTCCATTTTATCGTCAAGCTCTTATCTCCCTTCCCACACTCTGGGCACTGCAGTGAGGAATTCAGCACTCATTTTCTAGTGCTTGTCTGCTTGATCTCTGGGCCATTTGGTCTCCTCTGCTCTGTAGAGTCTTCTTTCCTAGACCCTGCACCCTCTCCTGGTCACCATATCATTTGCAAACTCCTGTTTCTACCTGTCCGATGACTCTAAATTCGATGGCTCTGGCCCGCTCCCCAATACCCAGCTTCCTGGACATCTTTCCCCGGGTGTGCCTCAGGCACCTCAAGTTCATCATCTCAGTAGCTCCCAGAATGTCCTCCTGTCGCTCAGGTGGGAGGTACCCTCTTTCAGACCAGACTCAGAGGAATGTGGATTCCCTCTCTGCCTTCTTCTCCATCACCTTCCAGTGCCGACCTCACTGGTTTCCACAAGAGCATTCTAAAGCAGGCCTTGTCGCCAGGCCCCGTTTACCCTTTCTACATCTTCCTCTCCCCATCCTCTTCTTCCTTTCCCACATGTTCCTATGTGCTTCCCCTCTTCCTCACTATTAAGGCCTCTTTGTAAAAGCTTCTGCAAGGATAGCAGGCAACTAACTTCCTCAGAATTCTTAGATCCGGATTATTTCCTTCCTTTGCTCTGATTTTCCTTAGTGGGGATTCAGGATGGAGACATTTGGCACCAAACTCCCTAAAATTCCCTACAGCCATCTCTTCTATTTTCATACTCCTGCTGACTCTTTAATATGTCTTCTTTCAGCTCCAGAAATTGTGAACTATGAGCCCCTGGGCCTGGAAGCTGACATGTGGTAAGTTGTGTAGGTCACCCAGGTGGTCTAGAGATCCTTCCAAGGGCAGAAGGCCTCAGGCCCTGGCTCTGGCTGATATCCCCCTTGACCATGAAAACCCCTTTCTCCACATTCACCTTTTTAGAGCCTCTGGCTGCTCCAGGTGTGCTAGGCCTACGGTCCAGGCAGCTAGAAGCATCTAGGCCTGGACCTGAGGCCAGTTAGAACATGACTGAGGTAGAGAAAAAGGGGAGAGGTGAGACTGGAGGTGCAGGCTCACCGCTGAGGCCTGCCACAGCCGTGATCAAGGTAATAGTAACAATAGCTTGTTCAGGCAGTCAACCAAGTGACCACTGAGCACCTCTTATGTTCTAGGCTCTGTGTTGGGCCTGGGGATACCATAGTGATTGATTCTCTGTGCAGATAGGACTCGTTTCTTTTGAACAGTGCTTTATAGTTGTCTGGGCATCTTGATTGGTTGGTTTTCTAAAATCTTCCCAGCAGTCTTGTAAGGTAGTTATCATTATCCTCATTGTAGCAGGAGAAAGATTCTCAGAGTTGATAGGGGACTTGCCCCAATCACAGCCTGCAAGTGCAGGAGTCTGATCTTGAACTTCGGTCCTCAGACTCAATGGCAAGAGTTTGATGACTCCACATGCTTCCCGGGGTGCTGCTGAAGAGTGGAATGAAGAGGGGTGTGGAGCTTGAGATGGCATCCAGAGGCCTCCATGGAGGGGCTAGTGACCACTTCCCCTGAGAACCATGTGGGGATTAGAGGCAGGTGGTCCTGACGTGACTGTTCTTTATTTTGCAGGAGCATAGGCGTCATCACCTACATCCTGTGAGTATCCCTGATCCCGAGACTCCCACCAGCTTCCTCCTGGGGGAAACAGGAGGAATGAGAACAGGGGAGGCAGACAGACAGACTGACATTTCCTGAGCACCCACCATGAACCCGATGTGTTCAATCCACACAGCAGACCTGACGCTAAGCACTCTTAGCTCCATTTCACACATTTGACCCTGCCTGGGGCTGGGGTTGTGCAGGAACCCAGGACAGCAGCCTGTGGCCTCCATCCTGCTCACACTGTGTCTGCATCCTCACCCTGGCCAGGGATCCACTGCTCAGCCTCACTCCGACTTGGATCCCTGTGAGAATGTCAGCTTCCACTCACGCCTTGGGAGGGCCCTCAAGCTACCCCGCCTGCCCGCCTCTTCTTTCTCTCCCTTTTGCCTTCCTTTCCCAGCTCTACTCCCTCTTCCTTTCTCCCCAGAGTCTCTCTTTCCTGTCCCTGAAGTATTAAGTTGCTCAAGTAGAGATTTCCTGCGTAGCTCTGTGTGTAGTGCATCTGACGCTTTTCATCTCTGTGGCCTCGAGCAGATGCTTAACCTCTCTCTGGGCTTGTTTTTCTCATCAGAAAAATAGAAATCACAAACTTCCCGCCATGGGTGTGTGGTGAGGGCTACATAAGCTGACCCATGCAAATTTCCTAGCACTGCTCTGGCACATAGTTCATGGCCGGCTAGGTGTTCATTCCTCAGTGTTTCCAGCCAGTTTCCCCTGACAGCATACCTGGAAAATGCCACTTTTATGGCACACTGGATAAGAGTCAGCCCACAGCCAGAGGGGACGGGGGACCAACGCTCAACAGCTGAGGGGGTCATTCTCTCAATATCCCCGTGAACCAGTTTTCTGGCTCTTCCAGTAGCACGTGGACTAAGAGCTCTATGTGATATTGGGGACCCTCCTCCCAAACTGTGGTGCTGGGTCTCAATCCTGGCTGCACATCAAACCTTGTAATATCAACCACAGTCCAGGCCCCACCCCAGACTTATTAAATCGGAATTCCTAGGAGTGGGGTCTGGGCACCAGTATTTTTTTAAAAACCCCAGAGGAATTTGATGTAGAGTGAATTTGACACATTGCTCTATAGTTTCAGATCAGAGCCAGAATATTCAGACATTGGCTCTTGGAACCTTGATTTCTTCAGAACCTTGGTTCCCATACTGAACTATTAAACAATTCCAGTGTGTTCAGGGCACATAGTCTTCTTGTAGCTTGTTTGACTTCCACACCATTTATTGAGTGCCTGCTCCATGGCGGGCATGGGCCAGGCACTCGGGATAGTGACATGATGGAGGTTCTGCCCTGCTCATCTGGAGCTGCTGTGTTGGGGGAGACACAATAGCCAACTCTCTACCCGGTGGGACCAAGTCTGTGGGTGGAGGTGTGAACACGCCTCTGTGAGACACAGACAGGAGAGCTGTGGAAGGTTTAATGAGGGGTGTTGAGGAGGGAGGGAGGCAGGGAGGGAGATAGGTAGATATTGATTGATTTGAACTGGATCATATGGAATGATGTTAATTCTCCAGGTACAAAGGGAGGGAAGGGCCGCCCTGCTGAGGAAGGGAACGGTGAGCGTGTTAAGTGTGGTGAATGTACTAAGCATGTCACAGGGGCCAAATTCTGATGCCTTGCTCAGGAGTTTAGATTCCATCCCCCAGAAAATGGGGAGTCATCGAAGGTTCTTTGTGTTCTAACAATGACAATAATAATGGCCATCAATTCCAGAGCTTTTGTATGGGACAGGATTGCATGGAGTATTTTATATATATTTATTCCCCACAACAGAAACGTCAGGTGGAGTCTTTTATTTTCATCCTTTTACAGAGGAGGAAACTGCAGCTCAGAGAGGTTGAGTAACTTACGCACATCCACACAGCTAATGAGTGACGGAATTGGGATTCAAACCCAAAATTGAAATACCAAATTTTTCCAGTGCACCTTACTGCCATTATGCTAAGAAAATGGCAGAGGGGATGGGGATGACCTTTTAGAGACATTTAGTAAATGGAACCAACAAGACTTTTTGGCCAATTAGGTGAAGTGAGGGAGTGGAAGGAAGAGTCAGATGTGACTTCCTGTGTTTCTAGCCTGGGTACATTTGTGAAGTGACATCATTAATCAAAGCGGGGAGCTCATGGAGGGAGGTTTAGGCACAGTGACTTCTGGGATAGTGGCACATCTGAGTAGAGGTTTTCCATAAGCAACTAGAATATGAGTCAGGAGACAGTAGATTCAGGAGTCACTATTTGAATGACATCTCCTTGACAAGCCCTACAGGGGAACCTCATACACCCTTCCAGTCCCTCATGGCCCATCTACTTCTACACCTATTAGGCTTTGCTCAGCTGATCCCTTAGCCTAGAAGACCTTCCATCTCCTTCTCTGACTGCTGACAACGTTTTCATTCTTCAAGACACAACTGATGCAAATGTCAACTCTCCAATGCAGCCTGCACTGGGCCTCTCCTTCCAGTCCTGCGCGCCCCTGTCCTTTGTCTGGCATTCAATTATGTTCTGCATTGTTCTGCTGTGCTTCTCTCCCTGCCACTTTCGATTCCCTGGAAGACACAGTTTCTCTCTGTCAAGCACTTGGTAGGAGTTCCATAAAGTGTATTGACTCGGACTCAGTTGAAAAGGCTGCTGACCGGCTGCCCAGAGTGGGTAAGCAGTCTTACTGGGAGCCTCCCATCCCCATGCAATAGTACGAGTCCGAGTTCCCTGACTCCATCACCCCCACTTCCGTCTACTTGCCTGTAATCACATGTTCCCTCTGTGTGTTCAGCCTAAGTGGAGCGTCCCCTTTCCTGGGAGACACGAAGCAGGAAACGTTGGCAAATATCACAGCAGTGAGTTATGACTTTGATGAGGAATTTTTCAGCCAGACCAGCGAGCTGGCCAAGGACTTCATTAGGAAGCTTCTGGTTAAAGACACCCGGTAAGAGGACAGAGAAAGGCACGGGCTTCTCAGGTACTGACCGTCTCCTGTTGCCTATCCCAAAGATGTGTCCGTCTGTCCCCACTTTGCCATGGGCTGTTATCTGCACCATTGTGGTCTAATCTGGGCAGGTGCTGAGAAGTATGGACTGGCCGAGACTTGGCATGGATCTTATTTGCTCAAGTCTTGCTGCTTTTTTTTTTCCTGTTGAAATGTAAATAAGTGTGTGTGTGTGTGTGTGTGTGTGTGTGTGTGTGTGTGTGTGTGTTTGCAAGTCAGCCTGGGTTTCTCTAGGGTTTATTATCTTGTGCAGTCTGTTCTGAAGGAACCTGGAACTAGGATTTGAAAAGGAATGGGACAGAGTTTTCAAGCCAGTTCAGTTAGGAGTTGGGGGAGACAAGCTCAGAGAGGCCAATAAGTGGGAGAATAGGGGACATGATGATCCTACCCCTTCTTCAGGACCCAGGGTGAGCCCCATGTCTGTGGGGGCAAAGCAGGGGATGGGAAGGGAATTGTAGGTTGTTGGGTGCCCAGAGCATGGCCCAGAGCGGGCAGGAGTGGGGTCCACAGACTCTAGAAAGTCATGTCTTCTTGGTTCCACAGACTTCAGAGAAAGAGTCAGGATGAGGTCCTCTAAAGCACAGGGTCTTGATTTCCCTGTCTAAGGGCAGTGCTCGGTAGGATCACCTTACCTAGGTACAGAGCAGGGCAGAGCAGAGAAGGGACCTGGGAGGCAAATAGAAAAACAGAGACCAAAGTTTTAGCAATGGAAAGATGGAAGCTCAAAAGAGCACTTAGGACTCCTATAGTGTGACATTAGGGCCTTCAACTTTGGGACCAAAGATAATGGTTTATGTAATGTCACTTTATTGAAGGGTCTGACTGGACCACTTTCTCTGGAGTGCAGGGAATTCAGCCAGTTCCCCATCCATCTCTGTATCCCCCATTATTCTGATTTGATGGCAGTGGTCAAAGAATGCCAAAATGCAGGTCTAAGAATGAAGACTTTGCCCTCAGCTTCTGTCCTCATGCATCATCGCTGTTTCTGATCCTTGTTGCAGGAAACGGCTCACAATCCAAGAGGCTCTCAGACACCCCTGGATCACGGTAAGGGCTTGCGGATGAGTTCCAGTGAGCCGGCAGGTCCCTGCGCTGTCACCCGGGCTGGCTGGGGTGGCATGATGCAGAGGGCCCCTGGAAAGGCCTTTGCTTGAAACACTGACCCATGGGCACAGATGAAAGCTAGTCAGGGGCTCTGAAGGGTCTGGGCTGTTCAACTAGGTGTATAGGTTTAAGTTTATAGTTCATGGGTTCAGGTAACTTATGAAATGCAACCCTCACAAACCTCAGTTGAAGCCCTTTGTTCTTTGGGGCCATCTTACAAAGTGTTCTATGTTGGATGACATGTCACCATCCTTCTCAAAGCAGAAATCAGGACTCCCCAGTTATAGAGAGACTAGTGACAATGAAAAACCTCAACTTTGTAACCAGGGCTGCTACTTTTTGACTTTTGGGGCTCTGATATACAAACCAGTCATCCCGCTTCCTTAGGCTCTTCAAGACCTCAGGGAATAGAGACATGAGATGGAGGCCTGTTGGAGAAGAGAAGCAGCCATTCTCTTAGGGCAATTCTGTCCCCTCTGGGGAGGGGAGGGGCACAAAGGTGACGCCCTGCCTAACCTGCTTTGTAGCTGTGCTTCCAGATGCTGGTTTTTCAGAGGGTCTTGTGGTCTAGTCACAACAGAGTAAGGTGCTAGTGAAAAGCCCCTTGGGAGGGTGGGAATCAGGAGCCTGGGATCCAGGCCCTAGCTCTGTTGACTGACCAGACGTGCACTCCCAGGGACAGCATCAGACTTCCCATTCGCCTGAACTGTTACATGAGAGCTGAGGAGGATATCTGAGGGTGCAGATGAGAAGGGGTAGAAGCCTGTGGAAGATGGAGAGTGGGGAGGACTGGAGTGCTCTAGAGAAGGTCAGCTTCCTCTGCTTATTGAAGGGTGGGGAAGGCCAAGCACCCTCCAGGTTTGGAGTGGGCCCAGGGCACAGAGCTAACAAGCCTCTCGGGCTGCCTCCCTGCTCAGCCTGCCGAGTGTTGCTGAGGCCCAGCGAACTGACTGGCCCTGAAGGAGAGAGGCCCCTCGGCCTCCCTCTGTCAGCCATGGCCTTGTGTGCTTCTGCCCCTGAGTGGATGCCTGCAGAGTCCTGCTGTAGCCTGCTTGTCTGTGTGAGTGCCCTAAATGCTATGCGTGTGAAGATCCCCTAATGGCCGTGGACCACCCTGCCCTGAAGTAAGTATGCAGGCAGGACCTCTGTACTCCTCAACCTTGCTTATGGTTTGTAAGAGTGCTCATCCCGCCCTGGCCCTCCCCATGGCCTGACGCATGCAGTGAATGCCAAAGAGGCTGCTCGTGTGCCTACCTGCACCTCCAACTGCCCTTGGGAGCAGGCATCAAATTAACTCTGGCTCTTCTGTCTGAACACCCACCAGTCCAAAGGGGAAGTCAGACCCCCGGAACAGCGGAAGACAGAGCCCACCAAGCTGAAGACCAAGCGCCTGAGAGAGTACACCATCAAATGCCACTCAAGCATGCCCCCCAACAACACCTACGTCAACTTTGAGCGTTTTGCTCGTGTGGTAGAGGATGTGGCTTGGGTAGACAAGGGATGCCATGCCCTGTCGGGGGCCCATGACACCATCCAGGATGACGTGGAGGCCCTGGTCTCCATCTTCAACGAAAAGGAAGCTTGGTACCGAGGGGAGAGAGAGAGTGCCCGGCATGACCTGTCTCAGCTCAGGTATGAGTTCCGTAAAGTGGAATCCTTGAAGAAGCTCCTGAGAGAAGACATCCAGGCTACAGGGTCCAGCCTCGGTAGCGTGGCCAGGAAATTGGACCATCTGCACACACAATTTGAAGCCCTGAGGCAGGAGCTCTCAGCAGACCTACAGTGGATCCAGGAACTGGTGGGCAGCTTCCAGCTGGAAAGTAGGAGCACAGATGGCCTGGGCTCCGTGTTCTGCTGGGACACCAGTGAGTCCCTTGTGGAGTTGCTCCACAGATCAGGCAGCGAGGAAGTCTTGGCTGGCTTGAAGCTCTGAGCCCCCAAATCTAGTCAGGAATGCATCCTGGGTGGCTTGTAGAAGCATGTTCCCAACTGCCCTGCTGGGCATCTGCGAGAATTATCCTGCAGGAATGTGTGTCCATAGCATAGCCTTGCACCACCTTCACAGCATCCAGAATCACGGAGGTGATAACTAGCTATTCGTTCTGCACCTCCTCTCACCAACCTGGTGTTTTGGGAGAGATGGAGCTGGCAGGGCAGCCAAGCTGTTAAAACAATTGAGGATGAATACCTTTCACGCATCCTTCTCTGGAGGGAGGATGACTGGCCCTGGGGAGATGTTTGATAACTGATTTGTGATGATGGATTTGCGCACATCTCACTTCCCACCTATGTGCCTTATGGATTGCAGATCTTAGGTAATATTTGAGCTAACCAGGGGTAACAGTAAGTCAGTTTGGTGCTTTCCTTCTGCAAAAAGAGGGATTTAAAATGCACAGAGAACATATTACTTTTCATTTGCATGGACATCACTTACCAAGCACTTGTCTTTGATCCTTAAAAGAACTCTGTGAGACAGGAAGAAGGGGGGTGGTGTTACTATTGTTGTTAGTATTGTTTTCATTCATGTAACTGATGAGGAAATTGACTCTGAGAGAGAAAATGACTTACTCAGGGTCATTTATAGCTAGTTGACACAGATGAAAGAGAAACTCAGGATGTCCGACTCTAAGATGAGGTACATGGGAAGAAGTTGTGCAGCTTGGCTGTAAATATCCACCTTAATGTTCAGATCCCAGAGGTAAAGTAAGCAGCTTCATGTATTCTGCCCCGGATAGGTGGAGTGCCTCCCACCTTCACACGATTGTCCTTAGAAGTGTGTCCTAGAAGACACAGCTCATTGTTCCTGTGTAGCCCTGTGTCTGAAGATCAGCCTGCAAGAGCAGGAGGGGAGAGGCAGCACCCCACCCTTTTCCAGCTTCCCCTCTCTGGCTAAGGGCTCCGACCTTGTGTTGGGAAAGAAAACCCAGAGGGAATCAACAAGAAGGCTCCTTTTCTTATGCATCTAGGGCACTGGACTCTGAAATTCTGAGAAGCTCCATGAGCGTTTTTGAAGAGGGTGGACATTAAGGCCGAGAAGCACAAGGTCTTCTCTTCGTGACCCCAGGCCTTGAGCACTCCTCCTGGAGGACTGTGTGAGCTCATCACCTTTTTCCTGGATGAGGGGCCAGGCCACCAGCTCATATAGACAGAGCATGGCATGTGGCCACAGCGCTGCGCTAGGATCACAGGGGTGGGGGAACAGATGTATCATTTCAAAGTGTCTTCACAGACTCATGAAATACCCTTGTCAGATAGGTGGGGTAAGTGTTATTCACAATTTGGAGATGAGGAAACAGGATGTGATTTGCCCCAGGTTATAATAGTGGCAAAAGTGGAGGTCTCCTGATGATAAGTCTGCTGTTCTTTCTGCTTCCTGTAACTGCCCCAGGCTCCAGGAGTTTACTCTCTGCTTCTGGGGCAGGTTATACCCAGATTCACCCATCCATCCATTCACAAATAATTTCTAAGCACCTACCAACTGTCAGGCACTCGGCTTGGCACTGGGGATACAAAGTTGAGTGAAAACAGGCATGTTTCCTGCCTTAATGGAGTTCTGAGTCCAGTGAAGGATTCCAACATTAATTAAGAACATTCTAGAAATATAGGACTGTAGCTAGGACATATGCATACACTATGAAAAAGAAGTATGCAGTACTGCAAGAGCCTGCTTTGGGGTATGATCTAGTCAAGGAAGGCGTTCCCGAGGTGATTATGCTAGAGCTGAGATCAGCTAGGCAAACAGGGAGTAAGACTTGTTTGCTACACGGCTGTCATGCCAGGGCTCTGTGGTGGCAGGGGGAATGGGAGGCTGAAACTGTGCAGATAGAAGGAAAGCTGGAGGGGAGAGTAAGAGTGTGGTATAGATATGGTTGGAGAGGAGGCAGGACCAGCAGGGCTTTGCCATATTAAAGAGCTCTGCCTTTATCCCAAGAGTCATGGGGAGCCATGATGGATGACAGGCTAGTCTACAGCCCAGTGTGCTGGTGGCATCAACACTTTCCAAGGATTCCAGGGCTGGGGGTGGGGTAGGGAGGGGAGGCAAATGCCCAGTGAGCAGCACAGACAGGAAGTGGTTTAGGATGAGACATGAGACTTTGATCCCATGAAACCGTTTCTTCAAAATCCTACCTCCTTTTCTATTAGCACGCTGGATCATTTCTAATGTCATATATAATGTTTGTAACAGAATTTTTTTCATCAAATATAAGAAACCATATTTTCATCAAATATAGGAAGTGTCATTATTTTATGTATCAAAAATAAGAAAGATAAAAAGCCCAAGATAGGAAGTCCAACACGAGACCCCACACACGCAAAGCTGAGACACCCTCTCTGAGAGGATAAGTGAGAAATAAAGTCACCAGGAGAAAGGGAAAACAAGGGAACATGTGTATCCCAACCTTGACACTAGGTGGCAGGATGAGAAATCCTCCCTTGAGAACAGGAGCCCCGGGTTAGTGGTCCTCATGATTTGCCTTCTGAATTTGCACAATCAGCGTGATCCAAAAGAACCTCAAGCAGAGAATCTAATGTCAAAGAGCCTGAGGCTAGGTGGCTCCTGGTGTCTGGCAGAAGCAGTGTGATCTTCTGTCGGAACATTTGCTTTCACTTCAGGCCGATAGTAAGGATATGTTGCCGTTGATTGGGAGACAAGTCCTGACTTCAGAGATACAAAAAATGTGCATCTTGGAATCCATGGAAGATAGCAAAGCTGTTTCCTGTGCCCTGCCTTGGAGAATTGGTACAAATGACCCATCTACTATCTCTCCAAGAACTTACTGCTCTGTCATGGGACGTGATGTACTCATCTGGCATAAGACACTGCAAATACGAGCAGACCTTGACCTTGGACAGCCAGGTTTCCAAAGGAAAGGGAGCCTCCTGATTGAGCAACTCAAGGGAAACTTTCTTTGTGAAGACTGAAATAAAATGCAATATAGGAG